ATATATATATATATAACTATAATAGTCGTACATGTAGTGCGTCATGTACTTTTATTAGCTACACATGATTCGTATTATTCGTCTTTATTACAAATTTCGCACTTACTCTTTACGATTTATTATACGCGTCGTATGAATGATGTATTTGATATGATTATCTACAATGTTGATGATATAAAAGTAAGTTGAGTTATGTTTGATACATTGTTCAAAATTGCCGCAGTCACTAAATTATTTGTAAATAATACATAAATGCATCATGTAGATACAACGTGGAATTTTAATGATGTATGCTACTCGATATACATTATACATATAATGAGCCAATCAAGGCATTGAATATTATTTTTAATTGTTATATGCGCAGTGTGCGTTAAACTAATCAATATCAATGATTAAACTAAATTAAATCAATAAAAGAAGAAAGAAAGAAAACTATTATAGGTCATAGATTAAACTAAATTTAATCGAAAAAGGTCACATTATATTATTATCTTTGACACAGCATTGATATTTTTAAACATTGCCATATTGTACATTTTAAAATAGGTAAAATAAGTAAAATAAGTCTGGCTTTTAAAATTACATTTCTTGTAACATAAATAAATACTTTTTCTCAGATAATATATTTTTGTGTTAAATAATTCTTGTATTTATGCTCTTTTATGCTAAAGAAATGTCAGTAATTAAAATATATTTTCTTCTATATAAATTCTCTTTGCAGAGAAACGTCATATTAATATATATCAACTATTGCACGCGCGCATATATAAGAAAAAAAATTCTTTTTAGTATTGTTTTTCTAAACTGATAATTATTTGTATATAAGTTAATAAACGTCAATATTGTATCGATCTTCACACTAGTTTGATATACTCAGCTTGAACCATTTAAATTTGCAGATTCTTTAAATAAATTAATTGTAAGTAATTAAGCTTGCAGAAAAATAATAATAAAAAATCGATACAAAAATCAATTTTTCTATTACAGATACATTGAATCATCAATATTAAAAACTGCTAACTTAGTTATTTTTGCGTGGAAAATTGATCAATCTTACTCTCTCTTTACTTTCATAACAAGTTACAATTTTATGTTGTGCTAATGTAGGTTGTTTAATATTTTTTTCTAGTACTTCGGTTTTTCAACGCTCGATTACTCTTCCAAATAACAAGAATTTTCTTTGCTTTTCTTTAGTCAGCTTTAACTCATTTCGAGACTCAACCTTTTTTATACCTAATATTCAATAATAAGCTCTCTATCTGCATACGTATGCATACATCAGTGAACAAAAACACAAAACGCCATGTGTAAGCCCGGCATCGTAATATTGTATTATGATTCAAACTGTACAGAGAGTGTCCCAGTTTACAGAATGTGTTACCCAAAGCTCTAATAACTTAAGTAAAGTTCTGCGAATATTCGCGTCGATTACGATGTAAATATTGTGTGATGCGTTACCTAACGTTAATAATTAATGATACAGAAATAGCAGTTAATTGCTGGTTGGGATACTAATAAAAAAAATCGATAAAGTAACTCTTAATAAATCATTCAATCGTCAAACGCGCATTAAATTATCTATATTTGTTTCGTGAATTTGTCAAACATTGTGTATCATCGAGAAGTGTGTTTAGTTTACTCTATTTTATAAAAAAAAAATATATATATATTTTGCTGAATACTACATATCATTATGACAGTGGTAATATAGGTGGCTTTCAGCGGCGTCAGCCTACTTTCTAGTATATACAATACGTGTGAAATATAAAGCGAGATCTATTCACACGCAGTACATCGATCACTGCACGGAAATGATTTAAGGAGGCTCAAAGCCTCCTCAGTCTTGACTTAATGCTATTATATATATTGTATATAATTGTACTTATTATACATACTATATACAAATTATGATATATTCTCTGATTTATTTTCTGGAAAATAGAATTATTAAAAAATTAATTATATATTTTAAATACCCTTTAATTTGTAAAATATGAATTGAAATTATAAAATGCAATTCTTTGCTTTAAATATTAGAAAATTTAAATAAAATAATTATAAAATTGATAATCCTGCTTAAGGACTACTTAAGCAAAATTTTATGCAAAGATGGGAGAAATTATTAATTTAATAGTTTCGCTGAAAAATTCGAGGAACGCCGATGTGGCATCGTTACATTTATACTGTGTCTATATATATAGTACATATATCAGTAATTATACTGATACTATACATAATATCATACTATACAGAGAGTTATTATAGAACAGATTTCAGCTAACACAAACGTCCTTCCCGGTACAAATTCTAATGAACAATCCAGGATGTCCGTCGAGGATTTCCTTTTGGTGCGAGTCCTCAAGCGATGGCGATTAATATAATACGCCTCGTATATTCTATGAAATTAATGCTAGCTACTTTATGCACATGATAATCTTTTTTAATCAAAATTCAGGAGTTACAAAGAATCATTTAAAATGATGCCGACCGATGTCACTGTATTGATGCAACTTTAATAACTCGTTAGAGAAGACGGCTATCTATTGAATAAAACGAGATAAATCGCGCAGTCAACTTTTACAGGCTTACGTTTTTAAAGAAAAAAAAATTGTACCGGCTCATTTAAAAGAATAAAACATTGCTTGAAACTATATAGAGAAAGCAAGCAAGAGAAAAAGAGAGAAAGAAAAAGTAGCATAGAAGAAAGTTTGCCATCTTCGTAGTATTGAAAAGTATTCATGCTCTTCATGAAGAGAGATCAAATTGAAAATTTTAATATATATTCTTAATCGCTTGAATTTGCTCGTGATAAATAAATACAAAACATAATTAAAAACTTTTATATAGTATTTGATTTCTCTATTTATGCCGTGTGTGAAGTATATTTCTAAAATATTCGATACGCTTTTAGATTTGTCGAGAAAGATTGGCAGTTCGAAAGAAGTTTGAGTCTGTCTAATTGAGACGTTCATTCTTTACTTGAATTGGTTAGCACTGCCATAGTCTCTAATAAACGTGTAAGCTACCTTCTCCTTCAATCGATGTAGCCGCATCGTCACATTGTCGCATCGTTCGGCCATCGATTCGTAATAGACGTCCGATAGCCAATTAAAAATGACACAAAACACTGCCAACTGTCCGTCTTTCGTAGACGTGTTTCTTCATAGAAATTTATTTCTTCTCAATAAGACTTTGCGCTTATTGCTCGTTGTCAGGATTGATCATTACCGGATTTTGTAGTGCAAATTCGTACTTTCTTGATCGATAAAAAAGATTTTTTTTTTTCTTATACGTTATTTCATAGAGAAATTATTAGATGTATGTAAAAAGTTATCTCACAGTTGCGTAGAATATTATTTTCATAGTGCACATAAACAAATGAAATTATTGATAACGATCAAAAATAAGAGCTCTTCTTTTAAAAAAAAAAAAAATTGTGTTAAAAAATAATTAAGGGTAATCAAAATATTTAACTCGCATATTCTTTTCGAAAATTAGTCGTTTCTTTATCACGGTTGTTATAATGTTCAAAATTTATAGATATTTCAGTTATCTCTGCGGTACTGCTAATCCGCAACACCAAGATAAATAAAGAGTAAGAGTTCCGCAACGTTGAACATGATTACCGGGCACATAGGGTAGATTTGCGCACTCAATTCCGGGCCCGAAATTGTCCGCAATGACCGTTTCTTAAGTCGTAATCCTCCCTTAGCGAACTACGCGAGTTGCGGAGACGCCACTAATGCTACTTACAGTATTATTATCTTATCGTTTAAGTTTAAAGTGTAGTATGGTCAACGCAGTCCTCGACGATATTCATCCTCGACTGAAGTCCCTGAGCGATGAATTTACAAGTGGATGTACAAAGTCATATGTTTCGATGATCGAAGTACGTGTGTGATAGCGTGCAGCGCTGTCGCGGGTAGATCTCAGGCCGGATGCAACGTACGCATCTGCGGATGATGATGGAGACAGAGGCACAGCGCGACGAGGATCAACAAGAGCAACGAGCTACCGTTGCTGTTGGCGCTGGAGTCATCATAATCCGTTATGTCCCCTCCGTTCTCCTTACGATTTCGTAGTTTCGAATCTACGATGGCAGATTTGAAGATACATATTAATAGCATAATATTATATTATCATAAAAAAGAAATTATAAAAAATTTAAATTTTGTAGTTTAAAAACACAATGATTTTTATCTGAATAATAAAGAATCAAGACATCATTTATATCCAGTTTATAATAATTTAAGAATATGTACGATATTGAAAAGAATTAAGAAGGATACTTGATGTCAATCATCTTTATTAAATTTTGATGTTCAATATGTACCTGGCTCTTTTAGCATATCTTGATTTCCACCCAGGATATCGTTCCCTGAATTATGCCTTGGTTTACCTGCAAACAAAGCGAGATATTGAACGATATCGTTTCTCCCTCGAGGCGAAGTTTATATTTTGATATTGTCAATATTGTCTAAGTAAATATTTACGGATACTTTTATTCATAAGCAATAATTATGAATATTCCGTCTATTCCCCTCCTCCTGGGTTTTTATCCAGCACAGTTCATTTTGTAACGATGTTATAGCAGTGTTAATCGACAACCGTTAAATATATCAATTATGAGTATTTATTTAATAACTTATTTTGTTACGTAAACGTAAGCAAATCAGTGTGCCAGATTTTTGCAAATTTACGGATGAAACATTCAATTGAGTCCTATTATTTCAGTTGTTTTCTCATTCCGCTTTCTTTGATTAATTGGTGCCCGTTGAATGTCTTTAAAGCAATTTGTTTCGCAATGTGGTATTCGGTTTCGGGTGGTACGTCACGGGACTACTAATGACGACGGTTGTTAAATCAATTGCAAGAGAAATAGCGATGACAGCCGGCACGAAGAGAGAAAACGATTTACGAGACAAGTTTATAACGCAGAATAAAAATATCCAATCTAATATATTCGAATTGAGCTTAGTTACATATCTCCAATAGCGATTTAGTTTCAAGATACGTATTTTATGTGAGTCAATTTTTGTCATAAAATCTTGATGAATGTAATTATAGATTCATCGCACATTTTTTGAAATTCGTTTATTTTAATCTCGCGCAGTTTAAACGGCGAGAAAAACGCTATACTAAAAAAAAAATTGCACGTTAATTTATTTTTTTTCCTGACAAAAATACGATAAATCTCTGCACAAAAGTGGGACAAATTTAATGTTAAACAGCGATAAAAAAGTGTTAAAACCGGGTAAAGTAGGGAATCGCTATTGGAAAAGCGATTCAGCGTTTTGCTCGTGATGAGAGGGCGAGTTCGTTTGTCTCCGTGAAAAATGCGGCTTCGACCGTGTGTTTTCTCAAGTAATGAGAAGAACGAATGAACGTGGCGGTTCGTACTCGATAAGACCAGTCCGTGGCAAATTGTGGAAGGGCTTAAGGTATGACCAATGTGTTTGCCTTCACGTTGTTAAGTTTCCGTCCGAAGTTTCAGGGATGCCGCATCGTTTGCTCTCGCACATAGTGGAAAATTGACCCGTCTGTTCTACATCTCTATTATTTTTGCCAGATGAATCACTCCGATAGAATACATTAAAATGATCTCATCAAGAATCAAATTCGCGCGGTCAAATTCGCGCTTCGGCCTTTCCAACAGATATAGAAATGATCTACTTTCTATTTTCCATTATTTCCGAAGCGTGTCATATCCATGTATATTGTTTCGCGCATTTAACTCAACGAGAGAGAGAGAAAGAGAGAGAGACCTGTACCTCTATATAGACGTGTATATTTAACCCTCGAAGCGTATGTGGCGAGGTGGAAAGAGTTCAATAAAATTGACCCGCGACACACCGAGACCTGGTCTCTATAAATCTTCCATCGCGCGATGCAACGTCGCCTCCCAATCTGTTGGCATCAAAATATTTTGCATATATCGATTTCCGGGTGTCGGGCGAACGGGAAGTTGGACCGAAGACGGGTCAATAATAAATCCCGGATTTTTCATTATGATGGTGCGGAAGATACTTGGTGAAATATGAGAGTAAGCTGCTTTTTACGAGCAGCTCGCGTTGACATCGCCTTCGTGCGCCGATTATTTATTGCCGCCAGCAAAACACGCGCGCGGTCTTCCCGCGCTGCTAATTATGGTAATTTGTGTATACAGTTATATAATCGTACACACTCTTGCCAAAAAATTTCGTTTCGGGGCGCGGACGGACCGAAATGCACATCCGGAGCGTTACGCGAAAAAAAAAAAAAAAAGAAGAAACATTACAACGAGCCGATTTACGTCGAAGAAAGACGTCAACTGTGTAATCAAAAATTTCAATTCGCGCTCATATTGCCTTTATATCCAGCTATCTCGCGCTTTTCAGTACGGCGACTGCATAAAGACTCACGATGAGACTCGTATTCGCGGCCGTGAGAAGTCCGCGTAGCCGTAAAAACATCGATTAGCCATAAAACGAAGACGGCGCGAGAGATGTTTAAAGTTTTCCCCTTGCGAAAATGAATCATTAAAGCAGCGAGAGAGAAGACTCGAGCATCTTGGAGCTATATCACGGCCGTCGGGAGTGTCTTAAAGCACATGCTTCAAAGCCCCTGGATTTTATATCGACATTTTTCATCCTGATATAGTAGTTATATTACGTTATAATAGCACACACGCGTTGTACGGTCAAGAAGCGCGACATAGCGTGTCTCAGCCTTAAATACATATCTATATGATACGTATGACTGGCACAATTTATGCACATACTCAGCCATTATCTATCTCACCCCTCACGAGCTATTTGTATCCTCTTTTATTAAAAAGTTTTAATACTTTATTTTTCAGCATCGAAATTTTTGAAACTAATAATGCGAATAGCAGACTATAATATGTACAGGCTATTATATATACGAACAAATATAACGTTTTATATACGAAGCATAAAAATATTGGCAGTTATTTCAAACATTCGAAATATGCGATCGTGGAAATTTGCAAAAATATCAGATCTGTTTATTATTTTAATGTTACGCGATACTATATATATTTTTATGGCAAATAAAAAAAAAAAAATAATAATAATGCAACGTAGAGATAACAAAATACTTTTTCGTGCGCTTAGTTAATACTCGGGCAGAGCGCAACGAAATATAGCGAAGCACGATGCGGCGCACTGACATGTAATTTACCATCTCCTTTGAGAGGCCGATGTATTGTAGCACAAAGCTCTTGCCGTATTATTATCTCTTTGAATATATCAACTACTCGGAAATACCGCGCCGAGAGAAAAGAATCTTTCGTGAATTGGTACTCACTCTAAACGTTCGTTTGCCATGCATTTATTCCCCCCTCCTCTCTTCCCCCCGTCTTCCAATTCGCATGCTAAAGATAAATCCGATAATAACATGGAAGAAAAATCAAAGCGACGAAATCAAATAACTTATCATCGACTTTCAGCTGCGTGTGTGGGCATTTTATATTGTTTTAAAATTAATTATCTATAAAATTTTCATATTGACGATATAATAATGTAAAAATGATTATTAAAGCCATAATATGCTACAGGTGATGCTCTTTTTATCTTTCAGAGATATATTGAACGTTCTTCTCCCAAGCAACTTCTAAGTATCTCGCTAAGAGATACGCGCCAAGTTATTCAAGGGAAAGTATGTTACGCATGGTGTTTTAAAATTAATTATCTATAAAATTTTCATATTGACGATATAATAATGTTAAAATGATTATTAAAGCCACATAATATGCTACAGGTGATGCTCTTTTTATCTTTCAGAGATATATTGAACGTTCTTCTCCCAAGCAACTTCTAAGTATCTCGCTAAGAGATACGCGCCAAGTTATTCAAGGGAAAGTATGTTACGCATGGTTGTGCGAGACGTCAACGCGTACGCGCGGATACAAGAAGAGAGACCGAGAAGCGAGTCCCCCTTCGGAAACTTCAGTTCTGCTCTTTTCTCTGCGCGATGAAAAGCAGATTGGCGGCGCAAGAGCGGCAGGTGCAAGAGAGCCGAAATGGTATTCATCCGTGAGTCTCTTTAAAAAGTCGTTTCTCTAAACGTCTATCTCTGCTATCGCGACTGCACCGCGCATTCTGCATCGAGCCTTCTGCATCAAGCCTCGCGCAGACTTTTGTGCGCGCTCCGTCCGCGACGGCGACCTGTCGTAAAAACGAGACCGTCCGCGTAACCCGACACGACGACGGCTCCTATTCATCCGCGATTTTACGCTGAAATAGTGCCGACCCTCTCCTAGAACCTGCACACTCGACGATGGAGAAGCTCGAACTTGGTCGGATGGAAAACTTGAAATGTCTTTAACAAGCACGGATGACATGAATTCGCATGGACGTGCAGCCTTTGTTGCGTTCCACGATAGATTATATTGCTTTCTCTCTCTCTCTCTCTTTTTCATTGTTGATAAAAATTATGATCCGACGATATTTGACAACATTGCACTTTTTTCTTTTTAATAACAATCTACATTCTTATAGGAGTATAGTATTATCACATACGCGAAAAATATATATCATGAAATGCATTTTGAAAATTAACGCGTTCAGAAAATAATGACGAAATAATATGTTATTTGTTCACTTTATAATGCCAGATATTTTTACTAGATATTTTCCCAATTAAAACACAGAGGATAGAAGATAATGCCGAGATTGTATGAGTACATTGTTTGGTTTAACTATACAATGCTAAAATACGTACTTTGACTGGGCTCAGAATGTGTTCGATCGAACAAACTGACTACTCGATCTAATTAATCAGCGACCTGCGTTTGTCTACTGGAAGTACACTACGTTCCATCATTCAAAAAGTACCTCTCAACACAAAGCGAGCAATAAGGGCGGGTGATCGATTTATATTTTCGAACAACGAGATTGGAATGAAGCAGTTAATTAATCAATGGCTTAGCATCTCTACAAAGTAGCTTCATTCAGGATTTCATTAAAATTCATAAAAAATTTATAATTTCATATAATTTTAAAACTGAGAATCGCGAATCAAAAAAAGCTTCTTCTTATCAGTAGTAAAAACAAACTACGTGCGATCCCTTTCGCGTTTTCCGCGTCGCCGTCGCAATCTTTCAAAAGTATATACAAGAGCTCGCTATATTATATACTTTTTTGCATAGAAAAAGGAAAATTACGCTTTGGACGTACTGCTTAAGTAGAAAATAGTACTTACCTTTGTGCTTGGTGTTGCTGTCGTTGGAAGTGGAGTTCGATATTGCTGAAACATAAATAACAGCGTTCTCTCTCAATATTATTCAAACGATACTACATCACGCACATCAAAGTGACGTCAGACATGTAAAGCGAGCGCGAACTGAAGAATGTCTCGAGTCGAGGGGATGCACTGAAGAGCGATTCGCGGCCCCGGCAGTTGTAGGTAAGAAATAACGAGGCGAATATATACAACACGCGGATAGTTTCTTTTCGAGTCACACTTTAACTCGCAACTTTGTTTATGCATGTTCTAACTCCTTGTTATCTTTTACTTTACGAGCGCAAACAATTTCAATGCGCGCATAGATGCGCACTTCGCACTTCGTTGTTTCCAGAGTGCCGATTCACATATTGGATAGGTACTAACCTCCGCAAACGTATAGGTATAACGCGTCAGTTGAGTGTATACAAGAACTTTCCTAGAGAGCTGTGATTCCGAATCGGAGAGACCAGTAGCCCCGTAGTCGCAAGAATATATTTTGCGAAAAATTGTTTTATTCATAAGCGCGCGAGCACTTTTAAGAATAATAAGGTCTGACCTGCCTCGCGCCGGATTTCACTCGGTATTTCGTAAAAATTCCAACTATTTTAACACAGCTGCTGCTTAATAAGCTGCAGCCAGTGCGCGAGCGAGCTATTTTACTGCTATTTTGTCGAATCCGATACGCCAGAGTGTCTCAGATGTATATACAGAAAATAATATAAATTTTATTACAATTTAGTTTCGCTAAGCATCGCTTATTATGAAATTCATTACCGGAATCTCTCTCTGCTGCGCAGAAAAATGGCGAGAATTTTAGATGAGAGATGCTATAATTACACTTACGATAGACTTTAATGCTGCCGTCAGTGTCGCCCAGCGAATTTCTAGAGACACATTTGTACGAGCCGTAATCCGCCGGACTGACGGTGTTTATCGTCAGTATCATGTGTACCTTGTACGCGTTATCTTTCAGCACTGGCTCGTATTTTCCTCCTGTAACAAATTGCAATTCCGTTAGTAATGCGCTGCACAGTTTTATTTCGGCGCTTTGTTTTCTTCCGTATCGTCAAAATTAAAGATAAACTCTCCCGAATCGCGCGCGCGGCTGCGATCGCCGAATTACATCAATTGAATCAGAGCGATATAAAAAAAAAAAAAAAAAAAAAAAAAAAAAAAAAAAAAAAACGGGACATTTATACAAAAAAAAAAAAAAAAAATGACGTGGACATTATATATCCGCGTTCTTTGCCCCAATTTCAGAAAAATCACGTTTAAATCAACTAGACACGTGAGCGCATACCGGAATAGAAAAAAAAGGAAAAACAAAAAAATTCGCTTTTCCGTCATGTGCTGTCAGTCACGTCCGCCCGGGGTTACCTGTCATTCCCTTGACGTGATTTACTCTTTTGGGTGGAGCTTGAAAATAGAAGTACGACCGAATCACGGATATTTTTATCGGAATATGCGGCGGTAATCGAGGGCTTTTAAATGACCGTCTGTCCTTCGTGCATTCATGGTATGTGGGTCGACCGCGGCGCGGTGACAATACGAAAAATCTCATAGAAACTACTCGTCTCATGGCCGTTTCCTTTTATAATAAAAGGCATAGTTGGATGAGAAAGCCGGAATTTAACAGAGAGATCTGTTTTCTAATTATTTCCTACTGGAAAAGTCGGTCGGGCGATTTAATAAGCGGTTGGCACGATTTATTTGGACGTTATCTGTGTCTCAGGAAACTTTTTCTCTCGCGCGTGATTGATTTTATAGACGCGGTTTTTTTTATCTCCAAAAAGAGAAAGAGAGATTAGCACGCAAACGTTTTCAAAAGGATAACAATTCAATAAAGATAATAAAAGACATTTCGCGTTGGACATACACAAATCATTTTACTGTTGCACAAAATTTATGCTTATTTTACTAGAGTATCGAGAATATCCAGTTGTCACTAGTATCTGAGAATTTATGAGATATTAAATTATAAGTTGCAGAAATAAAAAGTTGTTAAAATCTTTTATATCGAGGTCTCATGATGCATTACGTATGGCTATTATTGAACGTTTCTATACACACACACACACACACACACACTCGCACAAGTGTATCGGTTTTTCTATTATATTATCTCCTCGTAACGTTACATATATAAATTTACGATCCTTGTTCTGATTCTCTTGTAAGCGTGTCATAACAGCATAAAATGGTGAATACCGACATTCGCGATCACGAAAAGCGTATTATCCGTTCCGAGTCCATTCTGAGGTGAATCCAAAGTACGTTCCGTCCACGACTGTATCCCTTTTATTGTTCCGTTTTGCATTCTGCGCCGGGCGCTTTTCGCGTCAGATACCATCTGGGGATGAACCGTTTTGGTATCTTACGAGCCGAGAACCACCGGAAGCACCCGTTGAATAGCGCCGATCGAAACAGAAATTACGTTAACTTAAGATCGCCGCGCGTCGAATATCGAACTAGCGTTCGCGATAGACGATGCTACGGACGGACCATCTTCCAACCTGATTGAACTATTGTGACGTTTTACCTTCGACAGCCGTGGGAATTCGTAGACGACTGTCGATCTCAACGGCAGTTTCCGGCCTGAAATGGAACGTCATTTACTACGTCATCGATTGGCAGAGGCGATTTGCCGGCCGTTTTGATAAAACGTGGGATCTTAGATGCTTGAATTGATTATGCAAGCTATATCACGGGAAGATGTAAGGCATCGAAATCGTTCGGTCCTCGATAGCGACGTGTCCAAATTGTAGCTCGAGGATGTGATTTCTGTCATTTCAAATAGAATATAGAGACGTGCAATACGAAATTATTACTATATAATATTTGAAAGCCGATATTATAAGATAAAATTAAATCAAGGTGAAATATCTATTACGAGAATATCACTCTTAGACCGGTATTCATAGACAGTTCTTATATTTAAGACCGTCTTAAGCACAATCTTAAGATGTCCTAAACCAATTACAGAGCCGTATTAGCATCTTAAGACATTACTTAAGACGGTCTTGAAATAAGAACTGACTATGAATACCGGCCTTTAATAAAAAATCAATTGAAATCTTCGTTAAGTCACTGCCCGTTAAAACGGATAAATTTTTGGATTATATATGAATATTATTTTTGGATATTATTTTTGGATATTATATTTGGATATTCGGATATTATAGCAAATTTATATTAAGAGAGAATTTATATAAATTATATACAGATTAATATTAAACATATGGAAAGAACAAAATAATATTTTTAACATTGTTCAAATCAGCCCACTTTTTTAGCTTTTACAAGAACCAACAAATTGCTACCAAAGTCTTCATACATAAGCACTTAAAAAGATGTGATAAAACTTTCTTCCATGCCGTTTCGTAAACTGAAAAGAAAAGATTATTGAGATGACAACTTTGCTCTTGTGAAAATGCTTTTGTAAAAATTGTTCGCCTTGATGCTAGAATTTGGCGATAGCTGTCAGTTTGGGCGCTTGTTTCCGGAGGAGAAATTCCGTTTCTATTGTACTCGGCATCGGCGGAGGCGATTTGAAGGCGATCCGATTTGTATAGGACAAAATTTGAATTATGCAGAGTGAGTCGTCGGAAAATATAGGTTATTGAAATTGTCTCAATATATAACAGCGACATTAATAATTTTTTTAATAAAGAGCTCTGCAACGGTTTTTATAAAAAGAAAAAATTTTTTTCTTTTTCTCTTTCTCTATCTCCCTCTCTCTCATTTTTCTTCTCTCTCTTTCTATTTTTAAATCATTATCGAAAAATATCAAGTATATCGCGAGCTCGGCTTTCCATTCCATTTTATATATGATACTACATATTAGTTTGGTCAAATCGATTTTTATGCAAACGGGTAATTCAGAAAAAAAAAAGATGATATATATATAAAGCCAGAGATGATCCGCTTTTTTACTTGATTGACCGATATCTCGTAACGTTTTCTCTAGAATACTCTACGAAATTTCGACGTCGCCACCAAGAACTATTTCCGATCTAAACGACGAGTTCGACGCTATCTGCCATGGCATCGATCACGATACGTCTTGTTAGAACGCGTGAAATCGCTTCCAATCATTTTTCCAGTCACGCCATTCGTACATGCATCCCTTATTCTCGCACCGCTCGCGTTATTTCTTATTGCATCCATTGTAATCGTTAAGGCGAATATATTACCATGTTGTTTGTGCGACGCCGTAACACATCTCGTCGATGTATAATCTCATCGAAATAACTTAACACAATCCGACGACAGAAACAAACGTCAATCCGTATTAGCTTTGATCACGTTCCGTCAATAGACGAGCGCAAACAAACAAAAAAAAAAAAAAGAAAAAAAAGAAAAAAAGAGGAGAAATGTGCGGGACGGGCAATCTCGCGGATTGACATCAGGCGGTCAAAAGCGAGCGCGGGATGAAATTTTTACAATCACGCGTCTGTTCCGCCGGTTCTGTTTATTTGAATGCTTTCAATTAGACGCAAATGGAAATTGGCCGAAGAAATGAAAGAAACACAGGATGTACACGAGCGTGCAATTTGAATGCAACGTTTTCACCGCTTCGGGGCTAGCTTCAACATTCATCCCAAAGTGCACTACAATGTAACGAATATATAACTATAAAAAAAAGGACAAACAAGGCCGTCATCCTATTCGGTTTTCTCAAAAATGAATTCACAGCGACTTTCGACAGGATGATTCTGAATTATTTCCCACAATTCTTAGAAATCTACTCCTTTTTATGCACCGCTATACATAGATAGAATACCTAGCTAAATCTTGATAATCTTTGAATCGTATAATTTATATTTGATAGTCGAGTGAATTATATATGCGCGATCACCTTTATATAATTAAAACTTCTTTTGTTCCGTTCCGCTTTACTGCTATTAATCCCATTACTATTGATTAGCCTGCGTTTGGAGCATCGCAAAAAAAAAAGAGATATCTTTAAATTCCTTTATAAATAAAATCCTTTAATGCCATTTTATCCATGAATCCAATCTGGAAGTTAATTCCCTAAATGAGTTTCTACTGGAAACGCGGCGTTGCTTTTAATTTACACGCGGTCCGGCCTTGTATATCTTGAAAATAAATGCAGGAGGAGGTAATATGGCGATTACAAGAGGCAATCTAGTTTTTAATACCGTTAGATTTATTTATTTAAGCAGTATACCAGCAATACACGGCGGCGCGAACATCTCGCGCGGTTCTCTTCTTTCGGGCCGTTTATATGACCGGAATTAGCCTCTGAATAATGCATGCGAATCCCGGTAGCACGTTAAAGGTATAACACGATTTTATCTGGCATTTATGAGGAAGGCTAAGGACGCGCGCGACGAGTATGTATATGAACGCCAAACACGACCGGGATCGCCCTTTTCTGCGCGTCGACCGTTATTACATCGCCGTGTTGTGGTTAGCATTTGCATCTGTATCGAACGCAATAATGTTGCGCACAATGCGAGTTTTGACCCCCGATCGTGTTAACATGTAATCCCGCGTCCGAAGATTTCTGTCAGCTGTTTAAATGAGATTGAAAAGCCGTAAGCGTGTTTCCTACAATGACGTAGTATAATGTGTGTTATCCAGAATATAATATACGTACATCGCGCGCAACTAATACGGCATAAAAGCATACAAGAGAAATACGTCATAATAATTCATTGTTGTGTATCATAACTCATCGTTCGTCTCGTAACTTGCGATCGTTGGGCGTCTAATGAACGCGCGATACTATGTTTTTCATAATACGCTTAATTCTCGGCCGTAAAAGAACGCGCGCCATAACCGCGCAGCTTCCTCCGATGATTAAATATACTCGACAGGGGTCACGCAAGTGTACGTGCCCCTATTTGTGTGTATGTATGCGCGCATCGCGATACGAGAAAAAAGATATGAATCCGAAAAGGGATGGCGAATCGATGCAAAGTACTAAAGCCGTCTTTTATAGGCGGCGTATAAAGCAGAGCGAAACGCTTATATTCGCGCTTTGCCCGTGTGCGTGTTTATGCGTTCGGTATGGAACTTTCATTATTCAGAGGGTTCGTTAACAACCAGTTATTTTCCTTCCTCGCAAATACACACTACGTGGAGAGGAGAATACACGTCGGGGGTGTAATTATCTTTCTCTCGTGGAGTTACATGAATCATCAAAAAGCGCGATAGGTGCGTGCCGCGAACGATGCATATTACAAAATTGTAAAGTCATCCCACTTTCTACCATAGTCATGATTCTTTCATGAGACCCCCGCGTCTTACCCCGCGAACGACCGCGAAATCTTATTATGCAATTCCAACATATCGTGCGATAAAAGACTTCATATAAATTTTCGTTGATTTGTCGCTAACAAATTTCATGTCGTGTCTGCTTTTCGTCCAAGTCAAATTATTATTTATTGTTTTATTAGATATCTCTCTTATCTTATTAATACTAACCTTGCGCTACAATCTTGTCCTGATCTCTGGTCCAATAATTGATAGATTTCGGAAATGCTTCTGAGTAGCATTCGAGAGTCAGCTTCTGACCTTCGCGGACACCAACTAATTGATTCTGAACCCAAATCATTGGTGGAACTGAAACAATTACAAAACGACACTAAATTTCAAACGAAATCCTTATAAGTAAATCCTTGGTCACTATTTACATAATTGCTTTTAGTAATTATTTTGTGTGACACCTTCGCGTGTAAATATAAAATATTCTTCTTTATATTTATTTCATATTCCTTTTGTTTATTTCTGATAATTAAATAAATTTTTGTCATTTAATATTTTATATAACCATGCCAACTAATTATTTACATTTTATGATAATTTATTCAAAGAAATAAAAAGCAATGTCACGTAATTTAAGCTGAGATTAAATTTAATTCGAGATAAAATGCACGTGGTAGATAATATACGTACAATGCACAGTAAGCATTATTCTTTTACTGACAGAAGGTGGCACGCCATTGGATGCGATGCATAAATAGGAACCCATATGTAGCCGATTTACTTTTGTAATATTGAAACTCGAGCCATCCACACTCGAAACTGTAATCAGAGAAAGTAATTATAATCATAAAAATCATATCAACGTAATTTTGTATATATAATTACGCATTTATTATAAATAATTATATATAATATCTAATTATTTGTGATATAGAAATATAATATTAAGATAATAATAAAATTAGATGGTTTTATCAGATGTTACTGATTACTATCTTTTTATATTATCAGTTATGATATGAAACTCATTCTGCAAGATATTTCGAATTAAAGATATGTTTATTACGGAATTTAATTTGAAAGGAAGAAATTTTATTTGTCAGTAAAAAATAAAAAAAGTGTGAAAATTTTGTCGGGCGAACGAAATTACAACTACATGTTGAAAAAGTATCAATAAGTTTGCAACGAGAATTTCTGTGAGAAATATGATCGATGTTATCGGTGATAAATCGAGGTAGATGTAACTTTTACGCTATGACATCGAATGCTTTTTGGTGTCAATCGATTTTTGCATGAAACATGGAACGTCAGACCTCAGTGGAATTCGCCAAAAAATTTTTTTTTTTTTTTTATTCTCGGGAATGTGTTACGGTTTTCAGGAATTTCGATAAAGTTATAGCTATAGACAACTCGGTGCATGGGAAAGTGCGTGATGCCGGATCGATGCCGCTTTGATGTCGATATTTTTATTAGCGTTGGCAGACCAAAACTGTAGAATTTTCGAAAAACTTCGCAATTACGTTTGATTAAAAAAATATCATTTCGCCCTCGTAATATATTTTCCGTTTGCTAGTTTTTAATTTTTGATAACATCATTCAAGTTTAAGACTGAAAATTAAAATTACTAAAAAAGCCTCACAAAGGTAAAAAAAAATGCCAAGTACATATAAAAAATATCCCGATTTATATGCAACAAAAAGTTGAAAAAAATATTTATTAATTAAAATTCATACATGGAACAAAAAAATATTAAAATTTCTTATAAAAAAACTTTTCTCCTAAAAAATAATAAACACTATTAAAAAAAAAAAAATTGAACCGATA